CTGTATGAAGGCGGCGCAGTGGTGTGTGTGGCGGAACCTGTAGGAAGGCAGTGTCATGGTGGTGTGTGTAGGGAAACCTGTAGGAAGGCGGTGTGGTGGTGTGTGGAGGGAAACATGTAGGAAGGCGGTGTGATGGTGAATGTGTGCAGGGGAGCCTGTAGGAAGGCAGTGTGGTGGTGTGGGGGGGGAAACCTGTAGGAAGGAGGTGTGGTGTGTGTGTGTGTGTGTGTGTGTGTGTGCAGGGGAGCCTGTTGGAAGGAAGGCGGCACAGTGTTGACTGCTTAGAGTCGAGCTTAGCTTATGAATAGCATCTTCTTGTGCCCTCACCTGGTGGAAGGGGCGAGGGAGTCCCTTTTATCAGGGCATAAATTTCATCCAGGAGGCTGTGCCCTCATGACCCAGTCACCTCCCGAATACCCTCCCACGCAGGATTAGCAGGCCACACGTGACGATGCTGCAGAGCCTTCCTGGAGGCTGTGTGCCGCAGCCCCGCTGTCAGCTGCCGGCGCACGCTCCCGTCTCCCAGTTCACCCTCCTCCACAGCTGGTTTGTAGAACGTTAGTATGACTGTTCTTCAGATGATTGTGAACAGAGGCAGTCTAGGTGGTGGTTTTGTTTTCTGATTTCCTTTATGGAAAGGAGAATTTGCATTTCCCTGGTGATTTTGACACGTGTTATGAAATGTGTTTGTCAAACTCAGTGTAGGGTAAGCACATCCCACCAAGATAGACACTTACAGGCAGCCGCAGGAACCTACGGCAGTTTCCTTTTTTGGTCAGATTTCCTGTCTTACAGGCTTATGTTCCTAGTTGGAAATTAAGGTTGACCGTGTAGCCAGGTGTGTGTGTACTCATCCTCCATCTCTGGAGAGGTCTGCTTCAGAGGCCCTGCGGCCTGAAAGTCATGCCTCTGAGTCCGTGGTTCTTAGCTGAGGGTGGCTTTGCAGTGTGCAGAGATGGTTCTGGTTGTCCCACTCGGGATGAAGGCTGAGGGTGCCGGGAAACACCCAGCACCCGGCAGAGCCGCGCAGGTGGTGGCATCAGCGCGGCTGCTGCGGCCGAGACAGCGCAGGGTGCCATCCACCTCCCGGCCTCCTGGGTCCAGAGCGTCTCCAGGAGAAGGCTGAGGAAAGCGGCCAGCCGTGAGCTGAAGGCGCTTGCCAGGGATCTGGTGACACCTGGGCACATGGCCGGTGGGAGCAGCAGGCTGAGGCCATGGATTTGAAGTGCTGCTGCCATTTCTACTTTCAGAATCATGAGTTGCATAAGAAGGAGGAATGGAAGGGTTTTTCCTGGAGTGAAATGGTGCTTGTGGCAGATACAGGAACCACAGACGGTGCCACGCTTGTGTCAGCCGTGCGACGCTGGCCCAGACGTCGGTCTTGTTCTCTCCTCGCCGGCTCTCGTCGCTGTGTGGGCCGCGTGCCGCACAGGTACAGCCGAGCTTTATGTCCTAACATCGAAGGCGCGGAGAAAGGCCAGCCCTTCCCTTCACCCTGTCCCAGACTTCCCGGAAGCGCTGGGGTCCGCAGCCTGGCCCGTTAACTCCCCGGGCAGCTGCTGCGGAGGAAGAAGCACTGCCCGGAAGGAGATGCCGTGCTGGGGGGTGGTGGTGACACGGCGGGGCGGG